CACAACTGGCCAAAAAAAAAAAAAAGATAAAAAGTCTCACCAGGAGCCCATGGCTCATGCCAATAATCCTAGCTACTCAGAAGGCTGAGATCTGAGGATCACAGTTCAAAGCCAGCCCAGGCAGGAATATCCATGAGACTCTTATCTCCAATTAACCACTAGAAAACTATAAGCCATGCTGTGGCTCAAGTGGTAAAATGCTTGCCTTGAGCTGAAGAGCTCAGGGACAGCGCCCAGGCCCAGAGTTCAAAGCCCCATTGACTGACCAAAAAAAAAAGTCTCATGGACTTTTCTGCTTGGATTGGCTTCAGACTGAAATCCTCAGATTTCAGCCTCCTGAATAGTTAGGATTACAGGCATGAGTCACCAGTGCCTGGCCCTTATTTATTTATTTATTTTTATAGTTCAGGTGTTCACAATGGCTTAAGTTTATTTATTTATTTTGTTGGTCATGGGGCCTGAACTCTGGGCCTGAGCACTGTCCCCAGCTCTTCAGCTCAAGGCTAGCGCTCTACCACTTGAGCCACAGCACCACTTCCGGCTTTTTCTGCTTATGTGGTGCTGAGGGATGGAACCCAGGGCCTCATGCATGTGAGGCAAGCACTCTACCACTGAGCCACCTTTCCAGCCCCCTTTTTTTTTTTTGCCAGTACTAAGGCTTGAACTCAAAACCTGCATGCTGTCCTTTAGCTTTTTCACTCAAGGCTTAGGCTCTACCACTTAAGCAATGCCTCTACTGGCTTTTTTGGTGATCTTTCTCTGGGATATGTCTGCCTAGGTTGACTTTGAACCTCAAGCCTCAGGTTTCAGCCTCCTGAGTAGCTAAGATTAGAGGTGTGAGACACCAGCACTTGGCTTTAGGAACATGTCCCTTGTACTTTGGAGACTTTGGGTAGACATTAAAATTTTCTATTTTTTTTCCCTGTATGTTTGAATTTAAAAAAAAAATCACTTCATCTGGCCTTTGCCCTTTTATCAGCATGCAAAAGTTTCCGATTTTAGGCAGAGCCAGCTCCCAGTACCCCAATCTTTAGAGAACAGACTTACTTAGGACCGTGGTGGACCGTGCATATTTCTGCAGGCAATTTGCTGGGAGTTAACACTGGCTTCCTGGGTACTGTTCTTTTCTTGCTGGTCCTAGGGCTTGAACTCAGGGCCTGGGCACTGTCCCTGAACCTCTTTGTGCTCAAGGCCAGTGCTCTGCCACTTGAGCCACAGTGCCACTTCCAGTTTTTTTTCTGAGTAGTTTATTGGAGTTTAGAGTCTCATGGACTTTCCTGCCCGGGCTGGCTTCGAACCACCATCTTCAGATCTTAGTCTCCTGAGTAGCTAGGATTACAGGCCTGAGCCACTGGCACCCAGCTAGATTCCTCGTTTCTTATCAAGTCCATTCCACAGATCAGGAAAGTGATCCAACCTCTTGTGCCACTAAGGACCAGGCTGCTTTGTCCAGTCCCACCCCGCCCACTCCAGTCCCAGGTCTTACACTCCCCAATCTGCATCCCTTGTCAGTCTCTGGAGGGTTGAGAAACAGTGGGGATGTGACCGGCCAGAACCTTGCCACACGGTGGGTTGAGGGGCTAGCACAGAACCCGGGTTTCAGAGGCCCAAGCTCCCAGACGTCCTGCCTTTCTCGGGATCTAATGATGTCTCCAGGTTGCCCCCTTAGAACTCTGCGCCGTCTACCCTGTGCCCCACTCTGCCATCTGACGATCTCCTTGGCTAGCCTCCCCTCTCTGACCTAAAGTCTTTGCACGCCGCCCGGTGCTCAGTCCTCTTCCACCTCCCGGGGTTCAGAGCCTGGGTTTCAGCGGCCACCAGGGGGCGGGCGCGGCCCAGGCTGAGGCCCCGCCCCGCCCGTCGCCCCGCCCCGCCATAAGCCCCGCCCACAACCGACGCCCCGCCCCGTCCGGCCAGCGGCCCCGCCCCCTCCCGGTACCCCGCCCCGTCCGGCCGCGGCCTCGCTCGCTCTGCAGTCCCGACGCCCGGGATCCCGGGTCCCAGGTCTCACCTCTCCGCGGGCTCCGGCGATGGGCCCCGCCGTTCGCCACGGGCTGAGGTCGCCTCCGCCGCCTCCTCCCCCGTCCCCATCACCGCTGTTGCTGCTGCTGCCGCTGCTGCCGCTGTGGCTGGGCCTGGCGGGGCCCGGGGCCGCGGCGGACGGCAGCGAGCCGGCGGCCCGGCCGGGGCGGGGCGGAGCCCGCGCGGTGCGGGTGGACGTGAGGCTGCCGCGACAGGACCTGGTCCTGGAGGGCATCAGGATCGGGTCCGAGGCTGACCCGGAGGCCCCGCTGGGCGGCCGCCTGCTGCTGGTGAGCGCCGCCTAGCCCAAACCCGCCCCTGACCCCCGCACCCCGGACCCGCGTCAGCCCCGACCTGCCCCGCCAGCCCGGCATGCCCGGCCCTGCCCGGGCTCCCCCAATCCGGGGACCTCGAGCCCTCCTGCGAAGTCGATCCCAGACCCCGATCTTGCATTCACGGTAACAAACCCCGACTCTCCCCCTCCCGGCGCCTCCTCCCGCCTCCCTCCGCTCACGGCCCCGCTCGTAACAGATGGACGTTGTGGACGCCGAGCCCGAGGTGCCGGGGGAAGACTGGATCGCAGTGGCTTATGTGGGCCAGGAGCAGGCGGCTCCGTTCCACCAGGAGAGCCAGGGCAGTGGCCCGCAAGCCTATCCCAAGGCCCTGGTCCAGCAGGTGCGAGGGGAAGTCAGTGGGAGAGGGGAGCTGGTAGGAAGGCCCTCAGGGCATCTGCTAAGAGCCCGGCCACCCGGTGATCCCCACGGAGCTCTCAGGGAAACCCAAAGCCAAATGCCGTCAACGCTGGGGAGGCCAGAGATTGCTTTTAGAGTATGTGAGGGTACTCGTGGGGGGGTGCGTCTTGCTGGGAGCAGAAGGCACACTGGCGAGTTTGGATGCTACAGGGCAGCAGCAAGGAGGAATTTCTGTCCTTGACTAAAGGGAGTTTGTGGATACTTGAAATGTCCGTCCTAGAGCCAGGAGTTCTGGACATCTGGGGGTCCCGGGGAGTGACAGGTGAGGGCAGGGTCTATGCCAGCCTTCTGCCTTCTGTCCTCCCGCAGATGCGTCGCGCTCTCCTCCTGGGAGCCTCTGCCCTGCTTCTCCTCATCCTGAACCACAACGTGGTGCGAGAGGTAAACCAGAAAACAGGCTGTGAGGGGGAGCAGGCCAGGGAAGCGAAGACCGAGGCCTGCTGACCCCCCTGTCCCCTGCAGCTGGACATATCCCAGCTTCTGCTCAGGCCCGTGATTGTGCTCCATTATTCTTCCAATGTCACCAGGCTGTTGGAGGCACTGTTGAAGTGAGTTTGGTGTGAGGGCTCCTACAGGCGGGAGGGACCTGGGAACCTGGGAGGGGCTGAGGGGTTCTGGCTCTCCCATGAGCTCAAAGGGCTCAGGAGCAGGGCCTATTCACCTTAAGCTATCCTCTGCCAGGCTGAAAAGAGTTGGGAGGGGAGGAGGGGTTGAGACTAAGGTGCCAGACATGGAGGGCAGAGCTGAATACCTCCTCACTGACATGGTTGGGAGAGCACTGGAAAAACCAACAGCCAGGAAAAGGCGTAGGATCCCAAGAGGAAGGCCTTCAGAGATGGCATTTTGGGGTTACCCATCGCAGGGCTGGGTGGGTGAATCTGGTCCTCCTCTTCTCAGTGGCCCCTCTTTCTCTCTCTCAGGAGGACCCAGGCCACTGCCGAGATCACTAGTGGAGAGTCCCTGTCAGCAAATATCGAGTGGAAGCTGACCCTGTGGACCACTTGTGGCCTCTCCAAAGATGGCTACGGAGGCTGGCAGGACTTGGTTTGCCTGGGAGGCAGTCGTGCTCAGGAACAGGTGGGTGCCAGGGGAAGCATGTGGGGTCCCAGGAAAGGAGGCTCAGGTGGGGGCCACACAGGGGGCTTGTCTTGCTAAGCTTGTAATGAGGATAGCCCTTTAGTGCTAAACATAGGCCCTTAGTATGGCACTGGCTCAAGGTCACGTGCAAGTCACCGTCTGCTGTTGTCTTGTTCTGTTCAGTTGTTCCTTGGCTCCCTTTTGCCTGCAGAATAATATTCAGACTCCTTAAGGCCCTCACAGCCCTCCTCAGCACTGATTTATCCTGTGTGTGTGTGGGGGGGGTGCGCGCGCGCACACACACACACATACACACACACACACACACATGCACGCGCCAACTTCCTACTCTTGCCTAGCCTTTTTCACTTCAGTCTGGTGCTCTACCACTTGAGCCACACTTCCACTTCCTGCATATTGATGGTTATTCTTGGATTTGCATGCCTCAGGTGGCTTCAAGCCACTATCCTGAGATCTTAAGCCTTCTGAGTAGCTAGGATTATAGGTGTGAGCCACCAACACCCAGTGCATTGGTTATTTTTGAAGTGGGATCTCTCTTTATACCAGAGCTGGCCTGGGCTATAATCATCTTCCTTACATCATTGGGGATGGCAGGTGCATGCAACTGCACCTCCACATTGGTTGAAATGGAGTCTCAGGATTTTCTTTTACCTGGTCTGGCCTTGAACGTTGATCCCCAGTCTTCACCTCACAAGTAGCTAGGATTACAGGCTTAAGCTACTATGCTTGGGCTGGGAAGGTGGCTCAGTGGTAAAGTGCTTGCCTTGCATGCACAAGGCCCTGGGTTCGATTCCTCAGCACCACATAAGCAGGAAAAGCTGGAAGTGGTGCTGTGGCTCAAGTGGTAGAGCACTAGCCTTGAGCTGAAGAGCTGAGGGACAGTGCCCAGCCCAGAGTTCAGGCCCCATGATTGACAAAACAAAAAAAAAAAGCTACTATGCCTGCTGGTTTTGTTTTTAGAGACAGGGTCTTATTGTGTATCTCAGTCGTCTTCACATTTGCCATGCAGCACCGGCTGTCCATGTGATTCTTTTGCCCTTGCCTCTCTAGTGCTGAAATTAGAGGCCCCACTCCAGGTCCCTCGGCCCGGCCACACCCCCTCCCCCGGCTTTTTTTTATTGTGGTGCTAGGATGGCACACACAGCCCACCACTGAGCTACACCTCTGCTATCCCCCGTTTCTAGTCCTCTTCCGTGTTCTGGTCCCCTGCATCATTCCTGGTCCCTGTACATACCCTTGTCTTTCGCTTCTGGGCGTGTCCATGCTCCGCTCTAGCCATTTACCCAACCTCTGTCTCCACATGTCCCAGAGTACTGTGCCTCATGCCTTGGTGCAGACCCTTGGCTCTCTTGCTCAGGGCTTCCCCTCTTGGTCACAGGGCTGTGAGGACTACACCCCAGGCGTGTTAGGAAGTGTGATTTTTTTTTTCTTCAATGCCCAGCACTGTCGCTCATCTGTGCTTGGATTTCCTACTGCTTCCTATCAGGGTTTGACGTGAACTCCATCCACAGCATTTCTTGAGCTCAGATGTGTGCAAGGAAAGCATGCCCAGGTCTTCTGATGTGTAGGCTCCAGTAGATATCAGCTGACCCAGGCTGTGGTGTGGCTTCAAATCAACAAGTTCAAACCCTGGCTATGTACTTAGCGGAGCAACCCTAGGCCAAGTGTCCAACTTCTTGGGTCTCATGTTCTTCATTTGGGAACATGGTATAAACCCTGGCCCCCACGCCATGGGTGGTCCACACAGATCTCTAGGCAAGGAAGGCATTAGTGAGGGGCTGGAAGGTTAGAGCTGGGGAGGGAGGGACAGTCTGGCAGAGAAGCTTGGGAAGTCTAGAGGTAGAACTGTGCAGTCTCCAGGTGGATCTGGCGAGTACTGAGGAAAAATCACAACAGCCATGACCCTATGCTAGATGAGGTTCTAGGGGAGAGGTGTGTGTGAACCCTGCAAGTGTTGAGTAGCTGTGATGGCGGGGGTGTCCAGAAGATGGCTGGGCAGGCATCTCAAATGGCTGACCTGATGGGCATTGGGCCCTCAGCCCTGAGCCCATGGTCCTGTCACCCTCCTGAGCTAGCTGTTCAGTGCTTCTGGGAATCCAGACCTGCAGCCCTCGTGCTCTGAATGACCATTACATCATTCCTGCCTCTTCCCTGTTGTGTGGGGGGCAAGCTGCAGCCTTGGGCAGGGAAGAATATGAGACTAGAGAGCCACCCACGGGGCTGGGAAGGTGGCTCAGTGGTAGAGCACTTGCCTTGCATGCCTGAGGCCCTGGGTTCGATTCCTCTGCACCACATAAGCAAAAAGAAAAAAGCCGGAAGTGGCGCTGTGGCTCAAGTGGTAGAGCGCTAGCCTTGAGCTGAAGAGCCGAGGGACAGCGCCCAGGCTCAGAGCTCAGGCCCCACGACCAGACCCAAAAAAATAATGAGAGCCGCCCACAAAGCTTGGAAGGGAACGTGGGAACTAGTTCCCCTGCGTGGGGGCTCTGTGTGCCATCCACTCCCAAGCTGACTGCCCAGTGAGCAGCCAGGCTAGGTCAAGGTCACAGTGTTTCTCCCAGCAAGGTCACCCTACCCCTCCCTCATGGCCCACAGGTATTTTTTTTTCCTTGTAGTAGTTGCTGAGGCTTGAATTCAGGGTGTTCTTCCCACCGAACCGTGCTGCCAGCCCTCGCTGATTTTGTAGTAGCCTCTCAATAATGTTCATATGCTCATTCATTCCACAGTGACAGAAGCACTGAAGCTACCTCAGGTGTGATCCTCAGGTGTGGTTCTTTCCCACCAGTGGGAGCCTGGCGACCACTTGCAGCAATGAGAACTTAACTAACATGATGAAGAGTACGCATGAGGCCTGGGTGGAAAAAGGCACAATAGGAGTCATGGCTAGGGGGATCCCAGAGTAGGAGGGGTCCAAAGACATTAGCTAAGCAGAGGGAGAAAGAAGAGACTTCCCAAGTCAGGGACTAATGTGTAGGACACAGATGGAAGAACAATCAATGAAAAAGAGAGGCAGTAAACCAGCTGTGAGGACATACATCCCAGGTGCCACTCCCCCTCAACTCCCCCCCCCACCATAAGACTAGGGACATGGCTGTAGTAGCATGCTTGCCTAGCATGTTCAATGCTCTGGGTTCAAGCATGCACGTGTGCATGCACACGCGCGTGCATGCACACATGCACATGCGCGTGCATGCACACATGCACATGCGCACATACGCACATACAAAGGCAGCGATGGGGTTGTGAGATCTCCCTGGCTATGTGGGAAAGGCGCAGAGGAGCGGACTTGGGATGAGGCTCCAAGAGGAGCAGAGTACAAGGCTGACCCCTCAGGTTTCTTGTGTGAACTCAGACTGGGTGGAGGCCCGAGAAAGCAGAGCAGAAGGAAATGTGTTGGCCTGAAGTCCAAGGCAGCTGGATAGGAGACAGCAGCAGATGCTCTGAGAGAGGTGACACCTACCTTTCTTCCCAGAAGCCCTTGCAGCAGCTGTGGAACGCCATCCTGCTGGTGGCCATGCTCCTGTGCACAGGCCTCGTGGTCCAGGCTCAGCGGCAGGCATCAAGGCAGAACCAGCAAGAGCCGGGAAGCCAGGTAGCTGAGAGCCAGACCTGAGGGAATCCCAGTGCCCTCAGCCCTTGGGCCTGCGAGCTAGTGGCTACCCTCTCCCCATAGGTGGACCTGTTCAAGCGCCGCGTGGTGCAGAGACTGGCGTCCCTCAAGACGCGGCGCTGCCGTCTGAGCAGGGCAGCACAGGGCCTCGCGGAGCCCGGCACTGAGACCTGCGCTGTGTGCCTGGACTATTTTTGCAATAAGCAGGTGAGTGTCTAGGTGAGGCCAGTCAGCCCTTGGCTGACCTGTGCCACCCCTAGGCCGGGGGACTTGGAATATCCTAACGAGGCCTTTCTCCTCCCAGCCTCCATCAGGACAATAGAAAGGAGGATGGGGGTGGGATGGGCTGGTTCTAGATCACTCTATGATCTGAGCCCCTCCTCTCTGCCCCATAGTGGCTCCGGGTACTGCCCTGTAAGCATGAATTCCACCGAGACTGCGTGGACCCCTGGCTCATGCTGCAGCAGACCTGCCCATTGTGCAAGTTCAATGTGCTGGGTGAGCACTGGGTGTGGTACACTGGTGTGTGTGTCTGTCTGTCTGTCGTCCTGTCCCTCGCCACCCCCCTTCCCCACTCCCACTTGACCCCCTCCCTCCTCCTCTGCAGGGAACCACTACTCTGAGGACTAGCTGGCGTGTGTGGATGGATCCCGCCCAGCTGCGCCCTGGCCCTCAGCCTGGGCTCCTGGGAAGCGATGGTGGGATGGACAAGACAGCCGGCCCTGTGGATGGAGGAAGGATGCCATTCCATTGTGCCCTAGAGGGGAAGGAGGGATTCACTGGAGAACACCCAGCTGGACCTACCAGGCAAGGAAGGGAGGTCACTCCTGGGCCTTTCTTGTCATCCTTTCTCTGTGTCTGCCCTCCATCCAGGCAGTGACCAGGACCATGGGGATGGAGATTGTGGGCTCATCACCTGTCCCCAGAGAGCTGGCCACTCTCAGGGCATCCTGGCTTATTTATTGAGTGGGAAAGGGGGGAGGTGTGAGGAAAAATCAGTCTCACCTGAGGCCCCTGGGCCTCACCTTCATGATACAGCTTGGCCAGGGCTGTAAGGTCACACTGAGACGCTGCTGCCCCTTGCCCTCAGGCCTTGGGTACTGGGAGCCATGGGTCTGGCTGCCTGTCCAGCTGGCTCCCTTCCTAGGCCTGGCTGGGACCAGAGGCCTTAGAATCTGCCCAGTCCTGACTTTGGTGGGCTCTGTGTTGCTGATCAGGATACTTGAAGCCACAGGAAGAATGTGGTGTATCTTCTAAGGGCATCCACTGTTTGATTGTTTTTAAAATTGGGTAGGGAAATTTTAATAGCAAAAATAAACGTGAATATATTTTAACATAATATATAAAATTTATATGATTGTCTGAAATTTGTCACTGTGGGCTCTGCTGCTGGTGGTAGATGGGGTTCTGATGGCCCCCCTAAGATCCTCCTCTGATATGCTCATGGCTGTATAATCTCTGCAATTGTGACTCAAGTGTTTAATTCCATGAATAGGTTATGAAATATGCACAGTTGACCTTAAGATGGGAAAAGCAAGACCAGGTGGCATGGCTCATGCCTATAATCCCAGATATTCAGGAAGTGGAGATTCGATGATGATTCAATGCCAGTCGGGGCCAAATGTGAGACCCCCCATCTCAATGAACAAAGTAAGCATGGTGGTATGCACCCGTGGTCCCAGCTAATACAGGAATCATAGGTCTGAGGTCCACCTCAGGCAAAAATACTGGACTCTATCAAAAAAATAACTAAGGCAAAAGGGTTAGAGATGTGGTGCAAGAAGTAGAGTTCAGGGCTGGGAAGGTGGCTCAGTGGTAGAGCGCTTGCCTTGCATGCATGAGGCCCTAGGTTCGATTCCTCAGCACCACATAAATAGAAAAAGGTGGAAGTGGTGCTGTGGTTCAAGTGGTAGAGCACTGAAAAGCTGAGGGACAGTGCCCAGGCCCAGATTTCAAGCCCCATGACCGACCAAAAAAAAGAAGAATAAGAAGTAGAGTTCCTGCTGAGCAAGCACAAGGCCTTACATTCAAACTTCAGTACAAAAGAAAAGAAAATAGCAGGGTTCTGGTAGTTCACACCTGTAATCCTAGTTACTCAGGAGACTGAGATCTGAGGATTATGGTTCAAAGCCAGCCTGGACAGGAAAGTCTGAGAGACTCTTATCTCCAAATAACCACTAGAAAACTGGAAGTGGCACTGTGGCTCAAGTGGTAGAGGGCTTGCCTTGAGCTGAAGAGCTCAGGGACAGCACCCAGGCCCGGAGTTCAAGCCCCTTGATTGACAAAAAAAAAAGAAAGAAAAAAAGAAAAAAAAGAAAGAGAAAAGAAGAAAAAGAGAAACAGAAAGGCAGATTCGGGTGGAGGGAAGGAAAAGTAAAGAAAGAAAAGCTGGGGAAATCATCCAAAAGGGCCTGGCCTAGTAGAAGAGGAGGAAATCAGAGACTGTAGGAGCTTCAATGCAGATGCTCTCCGCTACTGACCTGAAGATGGGTGATGGTGTGAGCAGAAGGAGAGGCAGGACAGGTGACCAATAATCAGAATGATCTTAGGAGGGGCTTCTTCCCCAGAGCCCTTCAGAAGGAACCCACTGTGGGCAATACCTTCAAGAGTAGCCTTGGCTACACAGGGCCTGCCTGGATTTCTGATCTGCAGAACTGAGAGTTAATAATTGGATGCTAAATGGGTGAAAAGATTGTCCTGCACTTGGCCAAGGTGCTAGAAGCTTCTTTCTGTCCCGTGCGCCCCTCCCCCCCTCCCCCAATGTGCTCTCTTCCCACACCTTCTGGTGAGGAGGGTGGCAGGTAGCTCCCACCCTGAGGGCCTACATTGCCAGGTCTCTGTGGGCAAGGCCCCACGGGGACAGAAGGACTCCTCCCCAGCTTACCACACTGAGGCCAAGATGGCTGTGGGCAGCTGGCTACAGCTTTATTCCATTCAGAGTTGCCCTCCAGCCCCACCCCTGCTGCAGGCTTACTGGGGCCGCTCCTGGGGCTGGTGTGCAGAGTTGGCCTGGTCCCTGCTCGGTGAGAGTCTCCTCCTGAGCCTGGCCAAGGCCCGAATGGGGTTCTGGGCACAGACGCCCGAGTGGGTGACGCCCTCCAGGGAGGACTTGCTGGGCCAGCCGCAGGGCTGCCGAGGTGAGAATGCTTGGGGTTGGCCTGGCGGGGTCCTGCCTGTGCTGCCTGCCCTGGTGCCAGGAGACTGCCTCCTGCCCAACGACCTGCAGGACGACAGGACCCCAAGACGCCCTTTGAGGTGAGGGAAACCATGCCAACCCTGTCTGGCCTGCCTGTAGCACAGCCTCACTTACCTCGGGGATATGTTCTGGGACTGGGTTGGAGGAGCCGCTCCCTGAGCGTCCTTGCTAGGAGGCGACCAGAGTTTGTCCTGTGGGACCAGCTGCCAAAAGGAAGCTCATTAAGGCCTAGGAGTCCCATTTCCAGAGGGTGTGCTAGCAGGGTGAATAGGGGGTGGGAGGATGGAACCTATCTGTGTCCCTCCTCCTAAGGGGCAGGGATTAGGAAGCTTCAGGCTGATCAGGAAGATCACAGGTGGGTGGAAAAGGAAGAATCTTGGCCCACTTGAAGTAAAGGCTCAGGGATATTTGAGACTGAAAGGCACTGGATCTGTAACCATCTCCTTGGAGCATGGCCTGCACACGCAGGTCATTGAATGAACCGGCTCCTGACAGCTTCCCAGGATAGAAGCTGAAGACTTCTCCTCCAAGTCCCCAAGGTTCATGCTCTCAGGCTCACCTTGAGCGCCCCCTGCTGGGCCACTTCATGGATTTTGGACAGCATTGACTGGAGCCGCTCGTTCTCCTCCTGCAGGACCTGGATGCGGATGCTATTGGCTTGCACTTGCCTCTCCATATCTTCTGTGACATTGCCAGAACCTGCAGGGACACAGCATCAGGGACCCCATGACGTTGGGTCTGCCTCATGTGCCCCTGGGACAGGAGCTCAGAGGAGGGGGCTGGATATACGGAGGGCCTCCCAGCACGTGTTCCTTCTGAGGCCTCGCTTCCCTTCCCTTCGCTTCCCTTCCCTTGTCTCCCACCCACTGTAAGGGTGACTCGGGATTATAGAATGTGAGAGCTGGGTGGGCCCTGGGACTCACAGAAGATTTGGTAAATGAAAGAGGGAGTCTCAGCCCCAGGTTTGAGCGACAGGAAATCAGCACGAACCATCTCCTGGCCGTGGTAATGGGTACAAACTTTTGGCTCTATAGGCAGGGCAAGTTGCTGCCTGTTCCGGTTCTATTTCTTGGTTTGTAAAAAGGGGACTGTTACCCACCTTATGGGGCAGTTGTGGGACAACAGAAAGCCTGACATTTAGTTATCAGGAATGGTGACAATATGGCCAACTGTCCCTTCCCAACAGCTCTGGAAAGGGACCTGTCCCAGCTCATCAGAACCCATGGTCAGGAGAGCCAAGATTAAATGGTAGGAGAACCCAAGTTGCCTGCCATCTAATCTTATGCTAGTGTGGTGCCTAGCACTCCTGACCCTGGGGTCTAAGATGCTAGATGGAGAGGTGCAGTACCCTTGGACCTGGCCTCATGGTGTACTATGAAGACACACCAGGAAAGAAGACAAAGAAAGAGGAAATCAGAAAGGACATGTGGTATGGGCAGTTATGTCACCTTTGGACTTCCGGTCCCCTGCCTCCACACCAAAGGACTGACAATGCATGAGCACCAGTACCATGGAAGGTCAGTAGGGGCCGCCTGCTGTCCTCCCCTCTTCCCTCACTACTACTGGACGCCCATCACTGTGGGAAAGGGAGTTGAAGGCCCTGGTGTGCCCACCCTGGGCCCCAGCATTCCCTTGGCAGCATCCTGGGCCCTTACTTTGGATCTGGTCCCCCACGGGCTTGTGCAAATCAGGAAAGGTCACCAGCAGCCGCTCCCGCTCCTTCAGGGCCTCCAGCTCCCGCTGCAACTCGGAGAGATTCAGTTGCAGGTCTGTGGTCACCTGCTCCAGGTCCTGCTTCTCCCACTGCAGGCTCTTCAGCAGCTCCTGGGGGACAGGGAGAGGCTCAGACCTGGCGCCCAGGATGGCTCTGGGCTCCCCTGGGACATGGGACCTCTAGTGAAAAAGGAGAGGTCCTGCCCTCTCTCTCTGCCCACTTGCACCTGCTGGGCTCGGAGCTGGCACTGGTCCTGTTCCCGCTCGCTCTGCAGGTTCTGCAGCTGCTCCTCCATCTGGGCCTGCTGGATCTCAGCATCATCCAGACTGCCCCGCAGCTCCTCCCGCTCCTGGTCCAGGCTGTCCAGCTGCTGCAGCAGGGCGTGCTGTTTGGCCTGCAAGGACTATGGGAATGGATGGATGGGAAGGCATAAGGCTAGCCAGAGGACCATCAAATCCACTGTACCTGTGACTTTCCAATCTCTGCCCTCATGACATGTCTGTGCACAGACACATGGCTGTGAGCAGACAAGGAGGGCAGGGGACAGAGGGAAGAGAGCAGGCAGATGGACATCCAACCTGGTCAAGGCCAGCCCCTCCCACTTCCCCCCCACCCCCAAACTTGAAGAACCCACACCCACTTCTTTCCAGTCATATATCCACAGTTCCCACTAGAAGAGGATTCTGGAAAACAGGCTTTTCTCCTTCTTACAGGTTTCTAGTGTCCCACCAACACTTCCCACTGAGGGTAAAGTAGGAAGAACCAATGCGGATGCCTGGTATCATTGGCTCACACCTGTAATTTTAGCTACTTTGGAGGCTGAGATCTGAGGATTGTGGTTTGAAGCCAGCCCAGGCAGAAAAGCCCATGAGACTTATCTCCAATACACTATTTAGAAAAAGCCAGGAAGTGATGTTGTGGCTCAAGTGGTAGAACGTTAGCCTTGAGCAAAAGATGCTCAGGGACAGTGCACCCAGGCCCAGCCCCAGGGCTTGGGGAGAATCTAGTCCCCCTCCTCCTCATCTAGAAAATGGGGATGACAAGACGTACTGACAATCTCGCAATGTTGTGGCAGGGAGTAAGAATGAGAGGGCCCAGAGGGCCTCCAGCCTGAAGTCCAGAGCCTGGATCACGGGCCTCACCTCCTGGTGGCGGACCATGCTGTCGACACGGGCTTTCTCCTTGTCCAGCTCTGTGCTGGCCCAGCAGATTTGCTGGCTGGCCCCATCCAGCCGCCCAGCCAGCAGCTGCACCTGCTCCTCCAGCTGCTGCACCTGCCTCTCGGCGGCCACCCTGCGCTCACCTTCCTCCTGCAGCTGCTGGGCCTTTTCCTCTGCAGGATGGAGGGAACAGGCAACAGAGGGTCAGGCAGGGGGCACCAGGGTGTAAGTCCCTGTACTCCCTCTGACTCTGGATGGATTGAGTGGGGAGAGAGGTCACACTCAGGTTCTCAGCTACAGTGTGGGGCTCCGGACCTTGGGAATGGATCTAGAAAACAAGTGCTCTCCATCCACGAGGTCATTCATTGCCCAGACATGCAGAAGGTCCCTTTCTCTTTGCCCTGGAAGCTCAGGGATGGAAATGGAGGATGCCTGTCTAGCTGCAGCACTGGATGGAGACGTGCACGGGGTACATGACGTGCCTTCTTACCTACAGCCTTCATCGACTCCTGCTTCTGCTTCAGCTCTACCTCCAGGGCCACCACCTTCATCTTTAGGTCATTTGTTTCTATGGCAAGAAAGAGAGATAGTCCTTCACAGGGTCCCTTAATCCTGGCTGGCCTCCCTCCTGCCCAGTGCATCCCACAGCAGGAAGGCAATGATGTTGTGAGCTAGGTGGTGAGGAGGGGGAGGTTGCCCTCAAGAGGGAGTCAGAAGGCCTGGGCCCTGGGCTGGCTTCTCACTGGCTGGTGTCTACACATCTACACATGGACTTGGTGCCTTCCATGGATGCAACAGTGACGCTCAGAAAGGACAGTGGCTTGCCCACAGTAATGGTAGGCCCATTACTGTGACTTCCGGTGATGGTAAGCTGTGTTGGGGTGAATCGGCAGGGGAATGAGTTCTCTGGAGGTGACCCTCAATGACAGCCAGGAGTGAATTAATACCCCAGCTCCCTCCTTTGTTCCCCTTTTCTTCCCTTCCTCCCTCCCTCCCTTCCTCCCTTCTTCCCTCCCTCCTTCCCTCTTCTTTCTCTGTCTCTGTCTGTCTGTCTCTCTGCCAATACCAGAGCTTGAACTCAGGGTCTTGTGCTCACTCAGCTTGCTTGCTCAGCTCCTACTCTACTACTTGAACCATTCTGCCAGCCTAGTTGCTGATTGTTTTAGAGGTAAGAGTCTCAAGGACTTTTCTGCCTAGGCTGATTTTGAACTGTGATCCTCCAGATCTTAGCTTCCTGAGTGGCTAGAATTATAGGCATAAGCCACTGGCCCCTGGGTCTCCTTCTAACGGGACAAGTCTAAGGCAGAGTGCTACAGCTGTCTCCTGGTATTCTCCAGGACTGTTTCAGCTACTCAGTGTCTTCAGATGAATGGATGTACCCTTCTTGGCTGCTTTTCCTCTCTACTTACCAGTTTCCCAAACCTGAATTCTTTTTTTTTTTTTGGTCAGTCCTGGGGCTTGAACTCCAGGCCTAGGTGCTGTCCCTCAGCTCTTCAGCTCAAAGTGAGTGCTCTACCACTTGAACCACAGCGTCACTTCCAGCTTTCTGACTTTCTGAGTGGTTTATTGGAGATAAGACTCTCATGGACATTTCTGCCTGGGCTGGCTTTGAACAATAATCCTCAGATCTCAGCCTCCTGAGCAGCTAGGATTACAGGCATGAGCCACCGCCGGGCTCCAAACCAGAATTCTTCTATGCAAACTACTAGTATTCAAAGCCCTGTCTCAGCTTGATCTTGGGTGTCTTACTCCTGTAATCCTAGCTACTCAGGAGGCTGAGATCGTGATTCAAAGCCAGCCTGGGTAAGAAAGTCTGAGACCTTTACCTCCAATTAACTATAAAAATGCTGGAAGTAGAGCTATGGCTCAAGTGGTGGAAGTGCTAACCTTGCATGAAAAGGCTGAGTGCTCAGGCTCTGAGTTCAAGTCCCAGTACTGGCATACACATATACAAAACCCCTGTCTTGGGGTCTGCTTGGGGGCACACTCACACCAATGCTGTAGCAGAACCCTCAGGCACCGAGGGCCTGGCTCTGAGCACAGACCTGAAAGAAACTGCTGCCGGCTGCACTCCCACTGGGCCAGGCACTGCTCTGCCTCCTCTGCCTGCTGCTGCCGCTTGCTCTGCTCCTGTTCCAAGGCCTGCTCCAGCTTGCTCATCTGTTTCCTTAGTTCATCCTTCTGCCCCTCGGCCTCTTCCAGCTGGGCTCTGAGGGGCCCAATAAGCTGTGTCAGGGTCCCCACATGCTTATTGAGGCGTGTCAGGTCTTTGCTCTGTTCTGCAGCCCAGTGGCCCATGGTGGCAGCTGGCAGTGGCCTGAGCCCCATACTGTCCTCCACCAGCTGCTGAAAATGGCCCAAGGATGAGGGCAAGTTCTGGCTCTGACACAGGCTGATGAGCACCTTGCCTACCTCCTGAAGGCTGCCCTGAACGCTGGTACACGCATCACAGGGCACGAGGGCTGTCTCAATGGTCTGGGAGTGGACACTCTTGGTGCTCTGGGTCCTGGAAGGACATTTCAGGGAGACTTTGCCAGGGAGGTTCTGGGGCAAGCCTGGCACTTGGGAGGGAGGCTTGATGAACTTGGCAGTCAAAGACTCAGGACTCCTGGTTGGCTCGCCCTTGGCTGTGGGCTTGGCTGTGGGCGTGGTCACAGGGGGGTCTTTTGGGTTTGTTTTTTTCTGGAGTCAGGAGAAGAAAAAAAAAAAAGGAAAATAAGTGAGAGATGGCTGGGAATGTTGGTGACCTCCTTGCTGAGTGCTCAGCTCCTCATAGGTGTAAGCTGATCCTGACCCAAATTTCAGAGAACCCTTCTTTGCTCATGACTCAATCTATCAAGCCCAGATTTTGTGCCTCCAACCTCACCCCAGGCTCATGTGACTCTGTGTGTACATGTGCAATCACTACCATTACTGGGCTTTTTTGGGGGGAGGTGGGAAGGGGCTTGAGCTCAGGGCCTGGGCACTGTCCCTGAGCTCTTTGCTCAAGGATAGTACTCCATCACTTTGAGCCATTGGTTTAAGCTTCTGGTTTTCTGGTGCTTAATTGAAGGTAAGAGTCTCACAGACTTTCTTGCCTGGATTGGCTTTGAACCATGATACTCAGATCTCAGTCTCCTGAGTAGCTAGGATTATGGGTGTGAGCCACCAGTGCCTAGAAGACCTGTGTTTTTTGTTTTTTGTTTTTTTTCCAGTCCTGGGGCTTGAACTCAGGGCCTGGGCACTGTCCCTGAGCTTCTTTTGCTCAAGGCTAGCATTCTACCACTTGAGCCACAGTGCTACTTCTGGCTTTTTGTTTATGTGGTATTGAGGAATTGAACCTAAGGCTTCATGCATGCTAGGCAAACACTCTACCACTAAGCCACATTCCTAACCTGAAGCCTGTGTTCTTTTTTTTGTTGTTGTTAGTCGTGGGAGCTGAACTCTGGGCCTGGGCACTGTCCCTCAGCTCTTCCGCTCAAGGCTAGCACTCTACTACTTGAACCACAGCACCACTTCTGGCTTCTTTTCTGCTTATGTGGTGCAGAGGAATCAAACCCAGGACCTCATGCATGGGAGGCAAGCACTCTACCACTGAGCCAACTTCCCAGGCTTGTGCTCTTAACTCCCAAGCCCACGGGACCTTATTGGAAGGCTCTGGTGTGTCCACTGCTCCCTGTGGGCAGGAGGGAGCCAGTGAAGGATGTAATGCATACATGGGTGTGCAAAAAAGCTGGAGCTGGGGTGGGGAGTGAGAGTGATCAGGGTTGGGGGCTAAGGATGATCCACCTGGGGGGCCACCTGTTGGTAGAGCATGCCCAGTCTCAGCAGGCTATTCCAGAAGCGCCGCACTGTGAGCCCCACTGACATACACGGTCCTACAGCCCGCGCAGGGGGAATCGTCTGCTCCAAGCTGAGGCTTTCCAGGTAGCTGGCACAGCTCTGAAGCAACAGGAGGAGCCTGTGGGCAGAGATACCATAGAAGTAATGAGCCCTCACATTACTTACCTGGTGGCTTCAGGCCCAGGAGTGTTGGGGGAATGGCACAGGAGTATCTGCAGCACAAGAAGGGTCCTGAGTTCAAAACTCAAGTACTATTGGAGAAGAGGGTGGGAGGTGAGAGGGGAAAGATGAAGGAAGTAGGGTGAGAAGGGAAGAGGAAATGGGGGAAGCCCAGCCCAAGCATACGGGACTTAGAGAATCCAAGTCAGCTTCAGATACATTCCAGGGTCCACTTCCTCCAGGATGCCCTCTAGCGGACCTCCTGGGTAGCAGTACTTTAGCCTGGCATCTCCCACTTGGCCAGGGAGCTAGGGGGAGGGCAGCCAGGGTTCACCATCTTTTTGTTGTTGTTATTGGTCATGGGGCCTGGGCACTGTCTCTGAGCTCTTTTGCTCAAGGCTAGTGCTTTGGGCCACAGCCTCATTTCCAGTTTTTGGAGTAGTTTATTGGAGATAGGAGCCTCTTATCTGCAGGAAAGCCCAGGCTTTCCTTCCTATGCTGGCTTTGAACCGCAATCCTCAGATCTCAGCCTCCTGAGTAGCTAGGGTTACAGGTGTGAGCCACCAGCACCTGACTATCTTTTTTTTTTTCTTTCAAATGACCTTGTTGTCCATGCAGGTGAGGGTAATTCCAACCTTCCCTGGTGCTCTGGGGAGAAAGTGCCATCCTCTTAGGGCCTGGTGGAAAACAATCCTGGGGAATGGAAAGCTTGGTAGAGCAATCTGTCTCCTGCTTAGACAGACACACAGGCCTTCATGGTAGGATATGGCGTGCTGTCTGCACCCTCTGCTTCAATCCCATCCTGACAGGAGTTCACCTCCCCAAAATGCCACACTAGGGCCAGAAGCCATGGTCCTGACCTCCAGGGTTCCCAGGAGGGTCTGGGGTTCAGATCCAGTGGCCTCTGGCAGAAGGGAGGTGGGAGAGGAAGGTCTGACAGTCACGTTAACTTTCATGCCAGTGGTTGGGCTACAGCCTTTTTCCAGCAGGACCAAGAGCTGGAAAAACACATCCCGTGCCTGGCCTTGTGATGCCAAGGGAACAAGCCAGCCCACAGGACCTCAGGAAAAAGAGAGTGGGATGGAAATTCTGAGTAGTGGTTATGGTGGCTCTGACACAGCACAGTGGGGACTACCCAGGGGCAGGCAGCTACTCCCTGAAATCAATGGGGACAGGGGCACATGGGACAATACAAGTGGGGTCACGCTAGGTGCTAGTGGCTCATGCCTATAATCTTAACCACTTAGGAGGCTGAGATTTGAGGATCAGGATTCAAAGCCAGTCTAGACAGGAAAGTCTGTGAGACTTTTTTTTTGGGGGGGGGGAAGGGGTTGGGGAAGGACCTTGAACTCAGGGACTGAAAGCCATCCCTGAGCTCTTTTGCTCAAGGCTAGAGCTTTACCACTTTGAGCCCCAGCTCCACTTCCAGTTTTCTGGTAATTAATTGCAGATTAAGTCTCATAGACTTTTCCTATCTGGGCTGGCTTTGCACCATGATCCTAAGATCTCAGTCTCCTGAGTAGCTAGGATTACAGGTGTGAGCCACCAGCGCCTAATCCCTTCTGTTAGACACTTATCTCCAATAAGATACCAAGAAGCCGGAAGTACAGCTGTGGCTCAAGTGGTAGAGCACTAACTGTGAGCAAAAAAAGCTCAGAGACTGTGCGTGCTCCCGAGTTCAGCCCCAGGATGGAGAAAAAAAAAAGTGGGGTCACTCTGAGGGCTCCTGACAGCTACACAGTTTGTAGTCCTATTAGTAATGTTGCCAACATTTGTAGAAAGACTTCTACAGCTTTTACTGCTATGAGGGACAGGTGGCAGTGTCCAGGGTATCAGGGTTCAGTCAAGGCCCTCACCTGTCAATGACCAGCTCCAGCAGCACCGCGTGGGACAGCTGTGTGAACTCGGGGTCACTCGGCACGTGGTCATAGTGCTCCAGCAAGGCTACCATATCGAGATCACAGGCCACACGGTCGGGGAATTTCCAGGAAGGGAAGCGCACAGGCCCAGCTCGGGAGAATACATCCACAATGGCACCCTGCAGGTCGGTGAGGTCCTTGCGTAGGCTGTCAATGCAGGCCTGGCTGCCCAGCAGGTGTGCCATCCCCACAGCTCCTGGGGTGGGCAAAGAAGAGGCCTGTCAGCCAGAGATAAGGCTGCTCCTGGAGGAACTTCTGGAAATTCTAATTTGCCTTGTTGCTCTCAGCCTAAAGTCTGCCACTGACGAGGCTGGGAGAAGTCCGGTCCCCGAGCCTATCCAGGGACTATTTCTGAGCAGTCGAATCCACTTTCCTCCTACCCACCTAATCCTGGACCCACTGGCCTAGTCCATCATTCCACAAGTACCCCTAAGACCCAGTATGTGCTGTTCCCCTCTACCCCCCCCCAATACTGGACAATGCCACCTAAAATAGGAATGTGCCTACCATCCTTTCCTCCCAGAATTCTAACTACAGGGGCTACTGGCTATTGTCATCTCCCACCTAGATCCCTGCTGCAGCTTCCAGGTGGCCTACAGGTATGCTTACTCCAATAAGATCAAGTTGTACTTAAGACATCTGGGCCAAATCCTACACATCATGACCAGAGTCCAGCGCTGCCCTTCCCAGTGTCATAGCTTCTAGCCAGTCCTAAACTGTAACATGGGATGATGACTCGACCAGGCTGGGATGTGGCACAGCCTTAAAGGAGCTGTGAAGCCCAGTGGATGGCCAGAGAAGACACCACTATCGGCCCAAGACTGTTCTGAGCCCACATCTAGCTCCCTGCATGGGGCCTACACCAGAATGCTCTTGTTTATCTTTGGGCAATCCCAGTCTTGTGAATGAGCTAGTCATGTCCCTGGGCTCAGAAGGTAGGGAATACAGACCCTGTCCTGGCCCCTCTTGTGGTTGGATGTTGAGCAGCTGTGAGATGCTGGGCCCTAGTCCCTCCTACTTTGTCAGCTGGGGCCTCAGGAACGTCTAGAACTTCTCAGAAGCAGAAAGCACCTCCCTGTACCACCTGGCCTGCCATGAGACACAGGAGCTGCCTGGGACAGTGCCTAGCTAAAGCCCCTCCAGCTCAGCAAATCTCTTCTTTTTTTTTTTTTTTTGGTCGGTCGTGGGGCTTGAACTCTGGGCCTGAGCACTTGTCCCTCAGCTCTTCAGCTCAAGGCTAGAGCTCTACCAGTTGAGCCACAGCACCACTTCCGGTTTTCTGGTGGTTTATTGGAAATAAGAGTTTCACGGACTTTCCTGCCTGGGCTGGCTTTGAACCATGATCCTCAGATCTCAGCCTCCTGAGTAGCTAGGATTACAGGTGTGAGCCACAGGCACCCGGCAAACACTCACATTTTTTTTTGGGGGGTCCGGTCATGGGGCCTGAACTCTGGACCTGGGCGCTGTCCCTCAGCTCTTCAGCTCAAGGCTAGCGCTCTACCACTTGAGCCACAGCGCCACTTCCGGCTTTTTTCTTTTTGCTTATGTGGTGCTGAGGAATTGAACCCAGGGCCTCAGGCATGCAAGGCAAGCACTCTACCACTGAGCCATCTTCCCAACTCCCAGCAAATCTCTTCTAAACCTAGTCTCCCTGATCTCCATCATCTCCAAAAAACAATACCTGTTGTGCCTGTGAGCCTGGGCACTTCCCAGAATCCCTCTTTCCTCTGCCCCCACTTCTGAGTACCAAATGCTGCCAACCTTCCAGCCAGGCCACCCTAGGAACCCAGCCTTGCTGTACATCAGTCAGCCCCTTGGCTTCCCAGGTGGCCAGCCCCACTGCATCCCGTCTGCAGGGCAGGGGTGGGTGATAACCGTTCCAGCTCTGAGGACTCCAACACTTCTTGTGCCTCCTCTTGGTACTTCCTCCAGATGAGACATCCCTCAGATCTCCACCCACACGTCCTCCTCCAGGTACAGAGTGAGGTATTCCTCCGTTACCCATTCTTAGGGGATGATGTCTTTTTCTTCCCAGGATACATACACTACCATCCCGATGGATCCTTGATCATCTTGGGTTGACAGTCTATCTCTGTGAGCACCAGGACTGTGTCCTTTGAGCTGCTATATGAACTGGCCATCTGGTCAGAGAGACTTAGCGGCCAGTCTGTGCCCAGAGATGCTGGGAAGATCAGAGGCACCCAGGGGTGATGTCAAGGGCCAAAGTGGACTCTGGGTCTCCTGGAAGAGTGTGTTCTGCCCTCACCTCCTACAGGAGCCTGCCTGTAGAGCTGGAACAATCGCTCATATCTCGTTTTCCAATTCGCTTGTGGATTCCAGGGCTCATCTAGGTGCCTGCTTTTCTGTCTCCAGTGTAGGGCCGGCCCCCAGCAGTCCCTTGGTCCCTAGGAATGGATGGATGTGATGGTAGGTGAGGCAGGGAAGGGCTCAGCAGGGCTTTCTGGGGACCTGGGGGAGGCTGTCTGGGAACAGGGCGAGGCTGGAGAAATGGGGTGAGGGAACAGCAGTAGGATGCATAGTTTGAGCCTTAGCATGTCAAAATGCTTTCACAGTCCTAGCTGTGGCGGTACAGAGACATGAGAATTGCATTCCTCCTGGAAATTTTATACTTGGGGTAAGGGTGGGCCACCTATAAGAGCTCTAAGACTAGCAGAAAAAAAAACCTTCAAATATCTATTTCCATACTAGGGCTTGAACTCAGGGCAAGTACTCTACCATTTCAGCCACAGCTCTATTTCTGGCTTTTCCATGGTTAACTGGAGATAAGCATCTGATAGACTTTCCTGCCCAGCCTGGCTCTGCACAATCTTAGGTCTCAGTAGGATTACAGGCATGAGCCACTGGCATCCAAACTTTTTTGGAACAGTCCCACTCTGTAGCCCAGGCTAGCTACTTTTTCTCCTCTATACCACATTAAATAAGAGTATAAAGAGCTGGAAATGTGGCTTTGTGGTAGAGTGCTTGCCTAGCATGCATGAAGCCCTGGATTTGATTCCCCAGTATCACATAAACAGAAGAAGCCAGAAGTGGCGCTGTGGCTCAAGTGGTAGAGTGCTAGCCTTGGGCAAAAGAAGCTGAGGGACAGTGCCCAGGCCATGAGTTCACAAGCCCCAGGACTGGCAAAAAAAAGGAGTATAAAGAAATATATAAATTAATCTTAGGAAGGTGTGTATGTGTGCGCATGTGCACATGTGCGTGCTTGTGTTTGCACAGGTCCCAGTGCTTGAACTCCGAGCCTGAGTGCTGACCCTGAGCATTTTGCTCAAGGCTAGTGCTCTACCAGTTGAGCCACAGTTTTTTTGGTGGTTAACTGGAGAGTTTCATGGACTTTCTTGATCAGGCTGGCTGAGAACCTCAATCCTTAGAGCTTAGCCTCCTGAGTCGTATAGTGAGGATTACAGGTGTGAGCCACCTGTGTTCAGCTGTTTTCTTTAGCGTACTCAAAACATTATTTCCATATGAAATCAGTTAAACTGAGGGAGATGCTTGTTTTCTTTTTCTTTTGTTAGTTATGGGGCCGGGCACTGTCCCTGAGCTCTTCAAGCACTCTTCCACTAAACCACATTACACACACACACACACACACACACACACACACACACACACTTTCTCTCTCTCCTTCTCCCTCTCTCTCTCTCTGCTCTTTCACTCAAGACTAGTGCTCTGCCACTTTGAGCCACAGCTTCATTTCTAGTTTTATGGTGATTAATTGGAGGTAAAGAGTCTCGTCAACTTTTCTGCCTAGGCTGGCTTTGAACTGCAGTCCTCATATCCTCTATCTCCGCCTCCTGAGCTAGCGTTACAGGCATGTCCTGAGAGATGCTTGACATTTTTAAAGTCACAAAGTCCAATGTATCTGATGCTTAAAGTACACCTCAATTTGGAATAGTATTTCAACAATTTGGAATAGTATTTCAACAATTTGGAATAGTATTTCAAATGCTCGAAAGGCACCTGGACTAGGAGCTGTGGGATGGCATGGGGCTGGTGGAAAGGGATAGCTGCTGTGTGCTCAACTCAGCACGAAGACTGAGTACCCACTAACTGCTGAGCCCATAGGGACAGGCAGGCACTGGTGGCTCACACTTTTAATCCTCGCTACTCTGGAGGCTGAGATCTGAGGATCAAAGTTCAAAGCCAGACCAGCAGAAAAGTCTTTGTGAGACTCTTATCTCTAATCAATCAGCAAAAAAGCTGGAAATGGAAGTGTGGCTCAAGTGGTAGAGTACTAGCCTTAAATGGAAAAGGCCACGTGAAGAACGCCAAACAAGAGCTTGAGGCTCTGAGTTCAAGTCCCAGCCCCAGCAAACACACATACTGAAAAGACTAGAGCCAGGCACTAATGGCTCACACCTGTAATCCTAGCTACTCAGGAGGTTGAGATCTGAGAATCATGGTTCAAAGCTAGCCCAGGCAGAAAAAAAAAAGCCAGGAGGCTTTTTTTTTTTTGGCCGTGGGGCTTGAACTCGGCTTGGGCGCTGTCCTTGTGCTCTTTAGCTCAAGGTGAGCATTCTACCGCTTCTGGTTTTCTAATGCTTTATTGGAGATAAGAGTCTCACAGACTTTCCTGCTCAGGCTGGCTTTGAACCACAATCCTCAGATCTCAGCCTCCTGAGCAGCTAGGATTACAGGCGTGAGCCACCAGCACCCGGCTTCCAGGAGACTCTTATCTCCAAGGAAACACCAAAAAAAGCCAGAAGCAGAGCTGTGGCTCAAGTGGTGGAACACTAGCCTTGAGCAAAAAGCTCAGGGACAGCGCCCAGGCCCAGAGTTCAAGCCCCAGGACTGACACACATACACACAAAGAAAGGGTCAGGGCTGGGCTCCAAGAACCACCAACATGTCAGCTTCCCTGGAGAATAGGAAAAGATGTGTCTTGATCCCAAGACACTTATGCACACACAAACACATGTGCTCATACCTCCCACGCATTACCTTGGCAACCACCTCTTGTGAGCCATTGCTGCCCAAGAGATTTTTATGCCCCAAGGAATGAGACAGAAGCAAAGGAAAAAAATACAGTAAAACATTCAATGTTTATTTCCTAGAACAAGCATGAAATAAAGCAAGCAAAATAAAGTAAGCAAAACTTAAGCCCCAGGCTGGGCAAGGGCAAAATGAAGTGGCAAAGCATCTGGAACTCATCACCTTGTTTGTGAAAATAACTGAAAACATTGATCTGTTTCTGGGACCAACTTCCACACCATTGAAGCCCCATTACATTCTGTTAGCAATACATGCCAACATATCAAGAATATCCAAAATTGGAGCTGGTGCCAGTGGCTCACATCTGTAATCCTAGCAGTTCAGGAGGCTGAGACCATGGGGACTGAAGTTTAAAGTCAGTCTAGGCAGAAAAATATGTGAAATCCCATACCCAATGAAACACCTAAAAAGCTGGACTGAATGTATGGCTCAAGTGGTAGAGTGCCAGCTGGGAGCAACCAAGCCAAACAAGAGCAGGAGGTCCTGGGTTCAAGGCCCAGCACCTACACACACTGGTATACATGAGTGTGACTGTACACACACACACACACACACACACAATCCAGGATTGGATCCAGTGGTACAGCACTTGCCTAACATGTATGAGGTCCTAGGTTCAATCTCCAGTAGTGACCCCTAAAAAATATTCAGTTACCTTCTGTTGTGCTTTAAGACGGAGATTAAAGAGAGGTGGCCTAATACAGTCATTACATTCAATGAACATATGTGAAAACAGAACCAGGTAAGGGTGGAATTGGGGGAGACGTGGGAGAATGATGGATAGAAGGTGATATTGATCAAGATACACTATAATTATAAATTGATTACTTGAACTGAAACCCCTTTGTAAAACTACTTAATGTCTTTTTTTTTTGGTCATGGGGCTTGAACTCTGGGCCTGGGCCCTGCCCCTGCACTCTTCAGCTCAAGGTGAGTGCTCTACTGCTTGAGCCACAGCATCACTTCCGGTTATCTAGTGGTTTATTGGAGATAAGAGTCTCACGGAGGTTCCTGCCTGGGCTGGCTTTGAACTGTGATCCTCAGATCTCAGCCTCCTGAGTAGCTAGGATTACAGGCGTGAGCCACTGGCGACCAGCTTTAAAGGTAATTTATTTTCCAGTCCTGTAGCTTGAATTCAGGGCCTGGGCACTGTGTCTGAGCTTCTTTTGTTCAAGGCTGGCACTGTACCACTTGAGCCACAGTGCCATTCCAACTGAGGAATTGAACCCAGGGCTTCATACATGCCAGGCAAGCACTCTACCACTAAGCCACATTCCCAGCCCTTAAAGATAATTTTTAAAAGTGAAACAAGTTGGAAAAAAATAAAAAAAATGAAATCAAGCCAGGTGCCAGTGGCTCATACCTATAATCCTAGCTACTCAAAGGCTGAAATCTGAGGATTGTGGTTCAAAGACAGTTCAAGCAAAAAAGTTCGTGAGACTCGTTTCCAATAAACTACACAGAAAAAAAAAAAACAGAAGTGGCTCTGTGGTTCAAGTGGTAGAGCACTAGCCTTGAGAACAAAGAGACTCAGGGACAGTGCCTAGGCCCACAGTTCTAGCCCCATGACTGGCCAAAGGGAAAAAAAAAAGTAATCACATTATGCAGATGCATGGTCTGAGAAAAATTTAGGTATGAATGGAGGGAAGGAGCGTTCCACATGGGCTTTCTCTGTAACTCCCCAGTCTTCTGTGGAACCCTTAGCCTGAAACTGCTAGTTATGAATTGTATCGATGACCATGCAGGTAAGGGCATAAACTGAGCCAACTGCTCTTAGGTAGGCGCAACAGCTTACTCTATCTCTCTTTTCATTCCCTGGGACTTCATGTAGACTTTTGACTCCCAGAGGAAGGCAGAAGCCTTTATTTCACTCCCATTCAAACATGTAAGCCCCTTCCCTCCTACAACTACACCTTGCCCCATTGGGTGATCATGCCTACCTTCCAGCTGATGCACTAAGACTCCAAGTCACCGGCCTACCTTCCAGCTGACGCACTAAGACTCCAAGTCACCACCATGAAAATACTTTGGAAACTCTAAAACCACTTATATGGCAGTTGTCATGACTTGGCCTCCAGAGACACTGAAGTGACTTTAGACAACAGAATAGCCATCTAGTACAGAAGACTGACTGGAATTTGGATTCTGGCTCCCCCAACTCTAAACATCACAGTCCTTATCTGTAACTTGGCTGCTATAAAGAATAAATGATGTGTCACATCGAGTGTTTGGCTCAAGATCTGGCTCATAGCAAATGCTCAATAAGTCCTATCACTATTTTTTTTTTTTTTTGCCACAGTCATGGGGCTTGAACTCTGGGCCTGCTGGCCC